CAGCTAGGAAGTAGGAAAAGAACCCCACTCCCCCAGGAGAAGCTGGGTCCCAGCCAGGGGCAGGCCAGTGTGAGTGGGCAGGGCCCTGCCTTGGGGTACGGGTAGAGGGCCTGGCCCCCCACGCGGCAGCAGAAGGGCTGTGCTTGCCTGTAGGGGGACTCAGAGCTGCCTCCCAGGCAGGTCAGTATCTGCCCCATGGACAGCAGCGTCCCCTACCGGGTAGAGGGCCTGGCCCCCCACGCGGCAGCAGAAGGGCTGTGCTTGCCTGTAGGGGGACTCAGAGCTGCCTCCCAGGCAGGTCAGTATCTGCCCCATGGACAGCAGCGTCCCCTACCCAGGCTGTGAGCGCGGAGGAGGCGGGCCTCCCCCTGGCTTGGTTTCCCAGCAATCTGTCTCCCCTCTGGGCCCATGCTCTGCGGCAGGCACGGCTCATGCAGCCGGGGAGTAGCCTGCGAGTGTCACTGACCGCTCTTGTCTTCCAGAAATACCGTGATGGTGCTCTGGGCTCTGCTGCTGTGCTTGGCCACTCTGCAGGACAGCCCAGGGGTAAGTCACAAGCACAGCGCCCGGCCTTCCTCCTTCCGGCTGGCCTCTCCTCTGCCAGCACACCGTCCGCCCGGGCCTGGCTACAGCAGAGCAGGGCTCCGCTCCCAGTGCTGCTGAGAGATCCCAGCGGGCCGTCAGTGGGCTACGCAGCCCCCGCAGGACCCGGCTCTGGTGCCCGTTCAGGCCACGGTTGGCTCCTGCTCTGGCACACAAGGGCTTAGAGGCCTCGTTTGCTTTAGCCAGGCTGGTGTGACTGCGGGTGCGCTCATGGTTTAGCCTCGTGAGCATCAGAGAGAGCTAGTAACTCCCGGGGGCAGCAAGGGACTCGGGTTTTAAAAGACCCTCCCCTCCCCTCGCCTGCTTGCTCGTGTAGTGTGGGAGCAGGTGCAGAATCGCTCACGCTGGCTGCGCCCTGCCTAAGCCGGACTCCCCGTCGCTAACCTCGGGACTTGCACTTCTGTCATCCCCGCTTGGCAGAGGCGAGAAGAACCAACCTTCCCTCTGGCCGGTTTCGTGCGGAATAATTGTATGTGCGCAGGGGCGCGTAGACACAAGCCCAGCTGGGTGCTCTGCTAATCAGCTGGGCAGCTGCACACGTGCAGGGTCCAGGGCGTGCTGCTTAGAACCGGCGCAGGGACCCTCGGGGGAGGTGCTTGCCTCTGGCCCAACCTGGTGGGCCGTGGCAGGAAGAGATTTCCTCGCCAGCCCTGGAGGAATTCGTTCGGTGTCCAGCGCTGGGCCTCTTCCCTTCCCACAGCTCTTACTCGGCTCGTTCCCTTCCAGTTTGCTTTGGCGCATGCCCTGCAGATGGAGGATGCCTGCGGTGACGAAGCTGCCCAGCAGCGGAGCCATGAGGTACGAGGTGCCAGAATCCCCGGTGCTGAGGTTGTGCAGGGTGTTTGTGAAGCTCACCTTGGTCTAGTCCAGCCAGCGTCACCTTCAAACGCATGGGGGCGTCCAGCTGCAGTGTGCGCAGACGCTGCCATATGCACTGCATCCCACAGCTGGTCAGGCAGCCCCGCCCGCGACACCTCACTCTGAGGCTGGCCTGAGGCCCCAGCCTGGAGCGAGCAGCGAGCAGAGGGTCTAGGGCAGCGGCTCTCCCCTTTTCCAGACCGCAGTGTCCGCCCCAGGAGCCGGATGTGTCCTGCGTAGCCCGTATTGCCGCGTTGAAATGCCCTGCTCAGACGAGAGCACGAGTGGCGCGGCTCAGTGCTGCTTTCTCTTTCACTCCGTTACACAGCCGGCAGAATATCCCGGCTGTACTTCCACGGCCGCGTCTAGTGCACAGAGCTGGTGACTGCACTGACTTTGCTAGTGCTTTTCATGCAGCCTGCTGTCAACTTAGGCAAATCTCTAGCTGGGTCGATGTACCCGCTGGAAGCCCCGCGTGCTCCCAGAGGGACGTGTACCCCCTCCCCCCGGTTGGGAATCGCTGGTAGAAATGACAGAAGCGAACGTGTAAAAAGGCTGAATGATCCATTCTCCGGCCAGCCACAGAACCAACACAGCGATTACCAGCTGTGGGCAAGGGGATAGAGCCTTATGCCTGAGCCTGTTACCTGAGTCTCACGCAGGCCTGCTCAGGTCCACACGAGGAAACCCTGGTCGCCTCTCCCTCTCCTCCGGCCTGTCTGCAGGGAGAGTTCCTGTACTTTAGGCAGCACCACTGAGGGCTGGCTAGGAGGGACCAGCACTGCAGCTGTAGAGGCTGTCGCAGCAGGGCTACAATCCTGGATCTGTGGAGAAGAGCAGAGTTCAGGGGAGGAGGATGCGGGCGCTACGGACAGAAGAGGCAAGGGAGGGAACTTATGCAGGAGGCTCCTCGTGCCAAGGCAGCAGCAGAGCAGCAACTGAACGTGTTGGAGGCCCCTGGCTTGGCCGTTTGCCTTGGAATAAGGCACTTTCTAGCCTCTGAGGTTGTGCCGGTGTGAATAGCTGGCAGCCGTCCGAGCCCTGCAGCGCAGCTACCGGAGGGGATGGGGTGCTGGCCAGGCCTGGGGTGGGGTGCTGCTGTCACTAGCTCAGCATTGTCTGGCCAGCGGCCAGCACGGCCCTGATACGGCATAGTCAGAGAATACACCTGCGGCTCGAGAAGGGACTGGACGCAACAGGTCCCCTGTCCGCCCCTTCTGTGCTTGCTGCTCTTGGCCAGGGGCCTGGTCCTGCTGCTCCTCAGGGCGGCCCTAGTAGGAGCTGCTGAGATGTCAGGCCAGAGTTAATCTTTCAGGCTACTGACCAGCTCCTGCCAGGAAGCCCCCCTCATCTCCCGCTTGTAATGCTTCATCACAGAGCATGGAGGCTGCCAGCTAACTGGGCACTGCTGCCTCCTCAGCAGGGCCCTCCAGGCGAGAAGCCGCCGCAGCCCCAGTAAAAGCAGGAGGGATGCAGCTTTGTCTCCCTCTTGCTCTCAGTGTAACTCCCTCCTGGTTGTTGCAGGACGCGGAAAGGGCTGGAGCTTTAGGAGGGGACGCACAGCTTTCTCCCCCCACCACCCTTCTGCCAGGAGTGGCTCCAACCCTGCCTAATGCTGCAGTGCCAGATTCCACCTCTGACACCTGGGAGGACATCCACGGGCCGACCCAGCCACTTACCACCACCAGCCCCACCAGCCCAGAGCCCCAACTCGTCCCCGGGGCGGTCGGAGATCACAAGCAGGCGCTGGAGGGGCAAGAAGCTGATTCCTCCGAAGAGGAGGGAGAAGGTCGAGAGAGAGGCTGTGACACGTCCCAGGAGCAGAGGCGCAGGCTAGCGGACGATCTGATGAAGTTCACCATCGATCTCCTGAGAGAGGTTCAGCTGGAGCCCAGCCGGCGTAATGTGATCCTGTCTCCCCTCAGTATCACCCTGGCATTGTCCCACCTGGCGCTAGGTAACTAAGCAGCGTTCACTCTGTGATGTTCCCCCAAGAGAAGCGCCCGCCCATGCAAACGCTCAGCCGGGCGCTGCGCCCAGTGTTAATCTTCCGGCTTTACTTACTAAGGGGGAGAGTTGCCCTCACTGGCAGCTGGTCTAAAACAGCACTTTATAGACTCACAAAACATGGAGATGGGATCATGAGCTTTCGTGGGCACAGCCCCCTTCTTCAGATGACCGAGTTATGAGTAGGGGATAAGGAAACTCGAAATAAATAGAAGGGGGGGAGAAAGATGCTCTGTCGCCCCCCCCCTCAGGAGGAAGGGAGCTAAACCTGAGCAGATAAAGATCCAAGTCAGCGGATGGATGAGGCAGGAAGGAGACCCTTCAGACAGTAGTTAGCACCTTCACAGAGAGGTTCCGCCACTCCAAATCCTGATGAAGTCCATAATGAATTGAATTGAATTTGCATCTGAATTGTAATTCCACGCTTTCCCGGGGACAGCAGGGACCAGCCAGGAGGTGCTGTGGTGTTGCCGCTAGCACTTTACACTCAACCACCCGCCCGAGCCCCTCGGAGGCTGACCCAGATCTGTTGTTGCTTTTAAGGAGCAGCAAACCAGACGGAGAAACGCCTCCTGGAGACGCTGCACCTGGAGTCTGTGCCCTGCCTCCACCGCCTGCTGAGTAGCATTCGCAGGCAGCTCACAGACTCCCTGCTCAGTGTGGCTTCACGCATCTATCTGCAGAAAGGTGAGAGCCAGGGGTGGGGAATCCCTCCGGGGCTGGGGCACCCACGCAGAGATGGAAGCAGCTGCGCCGCTAGACCAGTGACTCTGGTTTGGCTGCGGGGGGGCCCCTGCTCTCTGGGCAGCCGTGCTGAGCCAGTGTCACCCAGGCCAGATGGCCTCATGTCAAGCTCCTTTCTTGCAGGGCTTGAGGTCAAAGAGAAATTCTTGGAGAGCTCAGAGCAATTCTACGGGGCCAAGCCGGTGACCCTGTCTGGGGACAGCGCGAGCGACCTCACGGCCATAAACGAGTGGATCAAGACGGCGACCAAAGGGCAGATTCCCGCCTTCCTGGCTCAGCTCCCGGACAGCATTGCGATGCTCCTGCTCAATGCCGTCCACTTCCACGGTGAGTTTCAGTGCACCCCCCGTGCCCGGCTGGCGTCTCCCTTGGGGAAGGCCGGGCCTCCCGGCCCTTTCCCCGCTGACATAGCTGCATAGACCCGGGGGAATCTCCTCATTTCGTTCCCATTTCCCTCCCCGGCCATGTATGCAGCTCCCCTTGCACAGTCTAGTTACAGGGCAGCCTCCTGACTTCCTCCCCTGTGCTACAGCCAGCAGCAGGCACTAACCCCAGCATCCTGCTCTTAGCCAGATCACACAGACTTCACTAGGTCCCCAGCAGGGTGCTCCTGCCGAGTCCTGGCCAGCTTCCAGCTCAGCCCACCCTTAGCCTGGTCTTCCTTGGACGCTTTGGGGGCGGAATACCGCTGTGCCCACAGGACTCCTCGCACCTGCACCCCTCTCTCTGCATTCCTGGGGGCGACAGCTGGCTCGCTGCTTCTCCGCTGCTGCTTTTACCTTGGACGTGGCGATTTCTCTGCTTCCTCCTCACAACCCCTCAGTCTTCTTGCCCATGGAGGCACAGCCAGGGGCTGCTGTTAGGCACTGGCTCATTGCGCTGCCCCATGCAAAGGTGTCCTGCAGTCAAAATGCTGCCAGCCAGGGCCCTTGTCTCCCTGCTCCTTTGTTTTTCATGCAACGTTGGGTTTGATGAATTCTACATTTCTGTGTTTGGGCAGGATTTTGGAGGGATAAGTTTGACCCCAGCCAGACGGGGCCAGATGTATTCCACCTCGATGACCAGTTCATGGTTCCAGTTGAGATGATGAAGGCTCAGAAATATTCCCTGAGCTGGTTTACTCTAGACCCCCTGGAGGTGCAGGTAAGCGTGTGTCTGGCATGCTGCGGGGCAGCTACAGGAATATCCCTGGTATCGCAGCACCCCCACCTTCTCTGAGCAGAGATGGCTGATGCTGTTCCCACACTCCGGCCAGAGAGGTGCTTTTCAAACAGCCTGTGCCTGAAAGGCAGTAAAATCCTTGCCGCAAATTCACGGGACAGTGGACTAGAGGGCACTGAATGGATCTTTTGGGCGAAGGCTGACAGAAATGAAGGAATATGGAGATTGAATTCTCCCTTGGGAAGTGAACGGATCCCTGCAGACCAGGCAACACAGTTCGATTTCCTGGGGGGCCTCTGTGTTTCTCACACCTTTGGCCACCTGGAGAAATACTGGATCAGCACGTTAGCATGGTCTGTCTCCCTGGGCTAAGCAGCCACTCCACTCCCGCCAGGCTGCCCCGGCTAATTGTTCTATTGACCAATCAGCGAGGGAAGTCTGGCTTTCTGGCCCACCTAGGTTTGCTTGGCTCGTTCCTGTTCTACCAGTTCTTCTGATTGGTTTGTTTCCAGGTAGCCAGGTTTCCCTTTAAGGGCAACATGAGTTTCGTGGCCATTGTCCCAAACCAGTTTAAATGGAACATTTCCCATGTGCTGTTGAACCTCACCCATGACAAGCTGAACAGCCGCTTCCCCAAGGAGAAGCCCACGATGGTAAAGATGCCCAAGCTGCATGTCAGCTACCAGCTGGAACTCAACCAAGTCCTCAGCCGACTAGGTAACGTCCTGCATAAGGCAACTGCAAAGGCCTTGTAGCTCTTCCTCTTCGCCCTCTGCTGTTCTCTCTGCCCACCCCACAAGAATGTGCCCTTCCGCACGGCCGGTCCTCTAGCTGTCTCCCCTCTCTCCTCCTCCTTCAGCTCACACTTTCAAACTCAGCCGGGAGCACCTCTCCCCTGCCTGTGACTTCAGTTTGTCTTCCCTTGGCCTGGGGCTGAGAGTGGCTAAGACGATGCAGATCACAAAGTATGTGAGAGCTAAGGGCGAAAGTCTCTGCTACGAGGCTCCGGGCTCGGCACTTCCAGGCGAGCGCAGGCAAGACCGGAGCCTGAACGTGTTTAGGAAACGCAGCAGAACCTTCCTCCTAGACAGCGGGAACGGACACGCCCCACAAGGCCTCCTCAGTCCCAGCCCCTTTCAAAAGCCACTTAATGAGTCCCGCTTTCAGCCGACTTGGCGAGCAAGGTGCGGGGGCAGCAGACTAAAGCCCCAGGGCAGTGGGCCAGGCCACGTGAAAGCTGCGGCTCTTTGGCACCCGTCGCTCTCCCTACAGGGAGGGACGGTAAACGTGGCCAGAGTCCACGGTGCCACTCCCGCGCTGGGGGGCACTGCCCAGGGCCCGCTGCCGTGCTCAGACAGCGGTAAGGGCTGTGGTAGCCGCTCTAGGGATAAAAGGAGTGTCCGAGCCAGTGGCCTGCCATAGTGCTGGCCTAGCGCAGAGACAGGCCTCTCTCTGACCCCCCTTGTTTTCTCCTTAGGCCTGGGGGAGTTGTTTTCAGCCCCGGACCTGCAAAAGATCACGGATGAGCCTCTCTTTGTATCCAGCATCCAGCACCAGTCCACGCTGGAGCTCGCAGAAGATGGGGTGGAGGCGTCAGCGGCCACCAGCGTCATGATGTCTCGTTCACTCTCCACTTTCAGCCTCAACCAGCCCTTTCTCTTCTTCATCTTTGAGGAGACAACAGGCATCCCGCTCTTTGTGGGCAGCATCCAGAACCCCAACCCCAACGCTGCCCCGCAGAAAAAGGAGCCACAGGACTCACCTGACTTGAAAAATGGCATAAAAAATGGTATCCCCAAATAAGGAAGGAGCAGGGCCTCGGGGTCCTGGGACTGCACCTGGGGGGCCCCAGCAGGGTCTCTCTCCTGGCTAGGCAGCCATCAGAAGCCCTCCTGCCCCGGCAGCCATCAGAAGCCCTCCTGCCCCAGAGGGCCCCCTAGAGTCCCTCTGCACCATGCTTGAGCAGCAGTTCCGGACACCTCGTTGCCTTGAATGCTCATTTGCTTCTGACCCTGGGCAACTGGGCCAAGGCAAGAGGTGTCAAAGCTGCTTGTCCCTGCGCCCCTCCTGCACATTCTTTGGCCAGGACATTCACCGGCCAGTGGGACTTGCTTGCCCCCTAGACACACAGCAGCTCCACCCAGGGGCTCAGCATCAGTCGCCGGCCCTGCTTGGGCTGCGAGTCTCAGCTGCTGTTTCGGATCAAGGTTCTGCCTAGAACAGTCGTGCCTGTGTCCCTGGTTACTGGGCTTGGGGGGGGGGGGGGGGGTGGTGGGGGGGGGGGCTGGAGGAGAAGTGGTTCATTTCTGTCCCTAGCACCAGCCCTTCACCTATGATTTGGGAGGCATCTTTTTTGTAAAATGTTTTTTAGTGATTTTTATGTTGGCAGAATAATAAAGAGTGAAAGAGAGGGAGCTTGGCGGAGTTGTCACTTGAGTGTCCCTGCGGACACAGGAAAGAGGCACAATAGGGCAAACAAGCTGAGTAACTGCAAAGAATGGGGGGAGGGGAGTGCTTGATTGAAGGCCCTAGAGGCTCTCACCTTCTCCCTGCTGCAGCTCAGACCACTAGAACGAGGAGCCACAGGGTGGGTGTGTCTGAACTGCACCCCCCTGCCGAGAGGGGGATGTGCATTACGCACTTTGAAAGTGCAAATGAAATCCTGGGCTTAATTTGCATGCTCACTTTCGGGCACTGTGCCGACCACGGGATCCTCATTTTTTGAGGAGTACAGGATCTGCCGAAAAAGCTCCCTGCTGTTGGCAGAGCCGCGGCTAGACGTCACTTTCGCTTTCGAAAGGGCACGTGATCGGCACAGCGCCTGAATGTAAATATGCAAATTAAGCTTGGGATATTTAAATCCTGGGCTCATTTGCACTTTCCAGGTGCTTGATTTGCATCCCTCTGCCAACAGAGGGATGCAGTCTGGAGGTAGCCAATGAGATTAACAGCTAGTCAACATGGCACCACTAAAACCCTGGCGTCCAACACACTAGCCACTAGCTACATGTGGCTATTTGGCCGGCTGAGCATGGCTAGTTCGCTGCTGCAACACTAGAGTGGCTGCTGCTTCAGAACTGGTTGGATACCACGGCACTAAAAGGACATTGCCTGGTCCTCTTTTCAACTCTCAGCTGAACGGGGCCAGGGAATCCATTCTTGTGGGCGGATATAAAGGGAGGGGAGATCCAGTCGGAGGCCAGGGGGTCTCAGCTGAACACTATGAGGTTAGGAAGTTTCCCCTGTAGCACTCTCCCCTAGCCTTCAGAGCCCAAGAAAATGTGGAAATGGCAGAGATGCTCCATAACTTTGTGTGTTCATTTCACCAACAAGGTTGGTGGTGAGCAGATGTCAAGCATAGCAAACATAGTATACATTAAAACTCCAGTTGTCCAGCACTCCTGATAGTCCGGCACCACCTGGAACCCGGAAGCGCTCCAGGAAGCCGGACAATTGGAGCTGCTCTGTCTCAGGCTTCCCTGAGTCAGCCCTGGGCAGAGCAGCTGGGGTGCTGGGTTGGTTCCGTAGCGCCGCCCCTTGGCAGCACC